CAGTCCTCACTCTTAGGAGCAGCTCTTCATTCTGCAGAAGGAAGCTGAGTTCGCAGATTATTCATACTGAAAACAAGTATCAAGGCACAGAGCCATCAGAAAAGTTCAGTAGTAGCAGCAGTTTGCATGGTCTGTGTAGGAAGCTATCTATAGTAACTGGGAAGTCACAGAGGGCACAGAGTTATCACCACTCTGCAGGACTCCCTCTGTCTGACCATATATACAGGGAGTTATATAGAGAGCCATATACAAAAATATCGACAAGTTGTCTGGCTGTGTGGGAAAGCTTCATGCAGACACATCTCCAGCAGAATCTTGTCCTGGCCCCACCAGAGAGCTGCGTATTTCAGTGTCTATTTCAGAAGGATGCTGGGCAGCCAGCACTGCCCCAGGACAGCTGATCTGTGAAGCATAAGCACAAGGACCAGAGTGCAAATATGTTCAATCTGTATAAGATGTCTGATTTCCTCTAAAGTATCTTTGTGCTATTTATAGAAACATCTCCTGCCATTCCCATTTATGTACTTTGGAGATCAGCACTACCTTAAAAGTTCCACCCGCAAAATCTCCTTAACTTCAGAATTTACAGGCTAGAGGTGAAAAATTACCGTGTTAAAGTAGAACTAAAGAACTGTAAAAAAATAGTTCAGGAGGGTCCTTAAGCACTTAAGAGTCCACCAAACTGCCCCAAGGCAGGATCGGCTGTCCCTATGTCATTCCTTGTGGTTAGCCTAGCCTGCTGTGGAAAAGCAGAAAGACCATCCCTGAGGAGAGCTCCCTGGGCAGTAAGCTTACACAGATGCCTTTCAGCACAATGCTCCTCCACAGTGAGTTTGAAGTTAAAGAAGGTTTTGATGGTATAACAAGCAGGATAAAGGTTGGGTCCAAGATCAAAATTTAATTTTGTAAAGTGAGCCTATTTCAGTAAGGCATGGCCATAATTTAAAGAAGGTTGCTAAATGAAGACTCCTAGAGAGCGTAACAGTAAATCAATATAGCTCTGTGCCTAGGGAAACCTTTATATTATCCAAAGGCAGCTTGCAATTTCAACAGCAGTCCTGCAAATTTAGCATTCTAGGCAGCCTAAGCACCACTCCTTTCCCACAAGCGTTGTCAGGAAGGGTGACAAACAACAGAAAGCTGCACCTTGACTTCTAGTCTGTCATCTTCACATCAAATTGTCCTTTTGCAGATTTCCCGTAACAGGATAAGGCGGGATCCTTTCCTCCAAAGGTGAGGCAGAACACTGCAACAATAGGGACAGGGTCAGAGATCTGCATGAAAACCCATCTGGATGTTTCCTTCAGAAATAATTCCATGAAGGCCTCCCTGCTCTCTCAGGCTACGAGCATGCAAGCTCCTTGGTTTAACCGGTGAACAGAGGAGCTGGCTCCTGGTCCTTGTACCAGAGCCTAGTTATCATCACTGTTCCAACTTAACACAGAAGCACCTCCGCATCCATGAAGGACTAAAACTGTCAAAACACAGGCTTCCACAGGCCTATCTCCCTCCCTTCATTTGCGAGTTTAACATAAACAACCTAATCTGGGAAGATGAAAGCTCTTTCCTTACCCCAAACTTTTCTCTCCTCATGCACATTTTGAAATTCTTCGAGACTGCAGATTGTCCTCATGCAGATTTTCTCTTGCTTGATGAGCCTCCCCTTTTTTATTGAATGGCAGGACTCTTTCCTTCCTTGTGATCCTGCTTGTCTCCAGTGATAATGGCTGCTTCTGCCCAGTCCCATTCCCAAGCACAGAGCCCGTGCCTAGAGATGGGTATATTAAAGGATGTCCTCACACAAGGCATTTCGCTCGTCTCAAAACCAAACCAGTTCTGGGTGGGGTTTGCTCCCTTTGGTGAGTCCCACTTGGAAACCTCTGAAGTTTTAATTTTCTATGCTGTCCTGGTTCCGTGTAAAAAGGGGTTCAGGGCAGGACCCACACGGAACAGAACTATGTACTCGCCTCTCCCCCACCCCCGAGAGAGAGAGAGAGAGACACTTTTTAAAAAAAATGAAGTATATTGTTCAACAAGGAACAGAAAACGAAAAAAAGGGAGGTAAGGAAAAATAATATATATAAAGATCAGGGGAATAATACAAAAAGATAAAATATACAAAACCCTCAGAAATGGTTCCAGGGTCCCACGGAGTGAAAGGAGAACTTTCCTCTCTGAGCTCCAAGGCAGGAGTGAAACAAGAAACCACTCCCTGCCTCTTATCAGAGTGTGTGTGGGAAGGGGAGGGAATACAATGGTTTCACCCCCACCCAGGGTCCTCCCAGTTGCTGGAAGGTCACGACCCCATTCCAAGCCTCAAACCACAACATATGCCTTTGAGCAAATGCCTTGTGGGTAAATCTTCACCCAGAACATCTGACTGGCTTGCAAAAACCCATCCCACAAGAGCTACAGCTCACAAGGAATAACAGCGTTTTCTCTGCTTCCCAAAGCAGCAGTTCGTTTATTGCTGTTAAAAAAGTAATCAGAATAACAGAGACCAGGAAGACTAAAGCTTTAAAACAGTAGCCTTAAAGTGTAAATCTATGACATACTGTAACCCACCAGTGATTTAATAATTTTGTATAACGATGAGACATATTTCTCTTTCACCCAGTGCTTGTCTAAAGTGAAGAAAACTTGTTAAGTGATGTCTACTTGAAACAGCAAAACAAGACCTCATCAGAACAACCACAGTGTCTATCACCAACCTGACCAGACCAATGTTCTCATTCAGCTCATGAATTTTGGAGATGTTTCATATTTTAGCTGAAGTAATAGGACTCCTGGGGGTCTCTTTCCTTCTTACGTTCCAACATCTACCTCCACAGGGTAGAACAACAGCAGAGTTATTCCAAAACACAAGGAGATGGGCTGTCCAAAAAGGCTCCGACTTTGGAAATCAGTGTTCCTTCCCCTCTACACAAGGCAGAGGTAGCTGAACAGCTGAGGACTCACTACAAAGATGAAACATTTTTCTGGGAAATACTTGCTACTTTTCAAAGGAGAACATTGTTAAATGACTTGCCATGAGAAATTAACTCATTATTCACAGAATATGATTTCTCACTGTTGTCCCCTTACTTCTTCTCTACCCTGATGTCCCTCACAGATGTGAACCTGGTCACAAATAGGAACTATAGTTTAGGACTTTGCAAATACATACAAGCCCCACAATAATCAAATACATCATTCTTCATGAAGCCAAGTATGAAAGTATCAATCTCTGGGCTGTTTCCCAGCAAAAAATTAAGAGCAGCGTGTTCAACTCTTTGAAACTCAAAGCTGTTTCCTCTGATGAGGGATCTACACTGCATGCCAATAAAAACTTTGCAGACATTTCTCCAGCAAGGCAGGGAGTTAGGGGTATGGATGAGAGTTACATCTCGTCTTCATTGTAACTTCATCATGTTGCAAAACCCCACATGACTGTACCACAGGTCGACTTGTGGCCACTATCTGATGTCAAGGACAAGCAAATACTGTGCTATTCTGAATGACTTTAGCCAAAGTGGTTTTTTTTTTGTTTGATTCATTTTTAATGGATTCTCAGCTAGGTGGACCCCCACTGAGCTAAGAGTCTTCTGTTCAGGGAACCTACGTCAGCCATTAAACCCCTTCAGGAAAACAGACTCCCACAGGAACTGGTGTAGTGTGCCCTCAGCCTGATAGATCCTCTCTTTTAGGTATCTCCACCTCTTTTTATTTGCAGCTTCAGGTCATCTCAGGATATGAGGAATAAAACCAATTCCCAAACTACATCCTCCTCACTTCAATCCCTCATGTGGTTTTGTGTCAGCACCTCTCTCTTGCTCCCTAATCCATGCACTTACCTGGGCAGGTCAAATCCTTTCCACCACTTTGGTTCTGCTCTTACTCCACGTTCCCTTCCCTATTTTTCTCTTCCCTCCACATCTTCGAGGTTTATTATTCACTTACTCTGCAGCAGTCCTACTCAAGCACCTCACTCCCTCTCCCCAATACCAGCCTTACAGTCCTTCTTCTTCGACAGTCTGAGATTTTTTACAGTTCTTCCAGCTCTGTAGCCCCTCCTCCTACAAGGGAAGTGTCTACTGGCACTTGCCTAGAACACGTCTTACTTCCAGGCCCTGCCTCACACTCCTACTCTGCTTTTCGAAGCAAACCACCACCACTGGTGATGTTCCCAGTGCTGCCATGGAAATTAATCTGCTTACAGAAATAAAACAATTTCTTTAAGTAGGAAGGCTGTGACAGTTCAGATACTGGGATTGTTCTAGTAGTCTAAAGATGCTCATTGGATTTCTCTTGACATGTGTTACAGGTGTACAACTGCTCTGCTCTTTTCACCTGCACTGCATTACAGAAGTAGAACCATACTCCTGAAGCTCTTTTTGCTCACTGAAAAGGTCTTTATCCTGTCACTTTGCGCTGAGGACTAGCAAACAGTGTGCTTCATCTGGCTTGAGAGGTCTTCAGTTATCTGTCTTTGGAAGTCCTTTAGAAAAAAGAATGTGCCTTAATCACTGGCAAGTAGGAAGACATCCTGGTGTCTACTGTATACCTGAGATGCACAAAGGGACCTGCCACAAATGCAAGAGCTGCAGTTATTTGCTTTGATTCTGAGTGACATTTCAAGTGCACGAAGTAAGGTACCAGTATTAAATAAGCTGAGAATGTTCATCATCCCTCTAACAGTAAAACCACTGCCACTTCCTGTGAAGCTAGCATTGCAAAGGTTTGACTCCAGAAACAGGTGCTACTGCTGCCGTCACACACAGATACTCTTCCAAAAAGTTGTTCAGTATCTCTTATTGATGTACACCAACATAGCACACTCTCACTGAACTTCACACAAACAGAATATGAGATGAAAATTTTTTCTCTGGCTAACAACCCACTTCATCTGTGCAGAAGCTCAGAAGAATTATGCAATGCATTTAGCAAGGCCACGTAACTTTCAAAGTCTGGTATATTGAAGAAAATAATTTTATTTGTATTTACTCAATTTTTTATTAACAAAGTTTATGGAATCTGAAAGCACAGTAAAAGGTAATCTTTAACTGAGACTTAATATGGGCGATTCTCTACCCAAAAATAGGTCAAACATTATGATCATAAAGAACTCCAAGGTTCTGTGCTATACTGTATGCTATATAAACAGATTTTGAAAATACTTTCCCATTATATATTTCGACACAGTATGCACAAATTTAAAAAAATAAAATAAAAATGAAGTTTAAATGCCTCAAGGGATTTCTTAGAAGCCATTTGAGGAGCCATTTACAGTCTGTGGTGACAAACTTCTACACAATCAAAATATTTCCTTTTTTCACAATGCAGAATCACCTGCTGCAGGTAACTCCCTATCAGAATGATGCCAGCAACACAGATCTGATTGTACGACTCCAGCACTTACAAGAGCACATTGGTTATACATGGCTTTTGACCTTGGGCTACAATTATGCTACCAGAACTAAATTCAAGACTAAATCAGTCATGTAGAGAACTCTGTGTTGTCTGCGTACTGTTTAGAGTCCTTGTTCTCCAGATCTGATGAAGCTGGTGAAGGCGCTCTGAGGTTCTTGTGCTTACATTCAGGGCAGGATGAACTTCGCAGATACCAGGTTCTCCAATTAATGACAAGCCACAGATCCCAAAGTAGGCATGTAAAACATCTGAAAGGACAGAAAAGGAAAAAGAAAATTGTCAGGTTGTACAGCCAAGTGTTCCTGGATTCCAGCAGCCCTCAGCAAGTACCATCAAGGAAAACTAACAAACAAATGCTACATTTTAAACTTGAATTCTGACAGAAGAAATCAATTTCTGCCCAAAGCCACCAGCATGAACTCATACCCTCCAATCTCTAAACTAAAGTCTAGTTTTGTTTTATAATAGTACTTGCCCTCTACCTTTTTTTCTTTTGAGTGCTCAGGCAACACAGCAAAAGAATTTGAGCATCTGGAAGTAATTTCTGTCCACAAAACAATGCCCCTCTCCCCCGAACATGAAAGAACTTTTTGGCTGATTACTTATGAACAGCCAACAACTGAAACACTAAAATTAGTGCCAATAGCTGCCAGACAGCACGATTTAGAAATATGAAATAAGTCACTACTTTATCTAGCTTCCTCCCCTTCCTGAGAGAATACCCTAAAGCTAGGAATTCATGAGGTGGCTTCATCAGCCATAACAGATGACTGCCACAAAAATGGGATGCTCTTATTCCCCTCTTCCACATTGTTCTTGCTGCCTAGCTTATAAAACCACCATAGCTTGCTGACCACCCTCTATGACCTAAAGTGACCAAAAAAACATTGAAGCAATGCAGAAGCAAACAGATGGTTTTCTGACATTTTAGTGAATTAGACTGGTTTGCAGAAGGTTCTGATATACACCAAAGCTAGTGCAAAAAGAAGAAAGGATGTGCAGCTGCACTTGGAGAAGCTGAGAGGAAGAGAAGTGAGCCTGCCTTTTCTTGGCAGCAGCAGCAAAACATTAGATGGGATTATCTGCCCATGAAATCACAGGCTAAAGAGAGAAAGGGGATGTCAGCTTAAATGTGCCCCTTACAAATCCTCAACACTCAGTAATCTCCTCTCTTTTGGAGGCATCAATAAATTCATACCTAACTAAAATGCTATTACAGAAAGGTATCTGGATAGAGAGACTGAAAGAAGGCTGCTTCTTGTCAGCATTAACATGAGGACAAAAGCGTATCAGCAGAAACAGCCCCACTGACTCTTCAGAAAGTTACGTGTCTGGGCTTAGACCCACCCAGGAGCTGGGCACTACGTGGCTGCTTGATCACCCCCACCTCACCACTCCATGAACAGGAAGAAGAAGAAGAAGAAAAAAAAACCAACAAAACCCAAAACCCCACAGGTTGAGATAAGGAGACTTTAATACAACACAAAAGGAGAAGTAGCAACAATGACAGTAACAGTAATGAAACAATACACAAAATGAGTGAGATGCTGCCTCAGCCACTCTGCTTTGTGCCCAAAACCCCATCCCTGCTAGCCCCCTGCCTTCATGTTCTGGGCATGTCACTGTAGTATGGAATACAGTTCGGGATAACCTGTTGGCTGGTTCAGTTGTCTACCCTGGCTGTGTCCCCCTCCCAACTTCTGATGAAAATGAACCCTATCCTAGCCAGACTAGCACGGTATGTCAGGCAAGCAGAACTCAACTTCAGGAAATGGAGTATATTAACCCCTGCAGACAGCTCCACTGATACACACTAAAAATTATATACAAACCTGATTACCTGTGTATGGCTATTTTCTGGGTTTAAACACAAATTCCATAGTTGTAGAAATCCATGCTAACTTAAAATACTTAAGGTAGTTCTAGGCAAAACTCATATATGCAGCCTGTGTGCTCCTGTTTCAAGCTGTGAAACACCAAGCTTTTCAAGGTCATAAAACACAGGTCCTTACAACACTGTGTTTTGTAATAACTCCTAAATCTCACTGCAGTGTTTCACATGTTGTAATTGTGCACACTCATTTTCACCCTCTCACTCTATGTGAAATCTTTTCACCTTTGTCTTGCATAAACTATAATTCCCACGTGCTTCCAATTCTTTTATACTGCATATCTCTCAAAGATAACAAGCGAGACAAATCAGAGTTGCAGCATAATCTCCTGAGGCATTCAGCGTTACATCTAGTAATTTCAAAGAAAAGTTTATTTAAATCTAATCATGACTTACGCACTTCTGGGAAAAAAACAAATGGCTTAGGTATGTGTTTTAGCAAAATGTTGTGGATTAAGCCTGGAAGGCAGCTAAGCACTGCAGAGCTGCTCATTCCCTTCCCCCATCCACACCCAGTGGGAGAAGAGGAAAGGAAGTGTGGAAGTGAAAAAACTCATAGGCTGAGTTGACAGTTTATAAACAAAGCAAAAGCTGTAGGCAGAAGCAAAGCAATATAAGGAATTTGTTCACAAGGTCCATCAGCTGGGCAGGCATTCATTCCTGGAAAGCAGGGCTCCATCACACATGATGGTTAGTTGGGGAAGACACACAGTGTAACTCTAAATATCACCCCCTTCCTCCTCCTTCTCCCAGTTTTTATTGCTGAAATGTCGTGTAGTATGGGGTACCCCTGTGGTCACTGGGGTTCAGCTGTGCCCCAGTCCAGTGCCTGGTGCACCCCCAGTCTGCTCACTAGCAGGGCAGTGAGAGAAACAGAAAAGGCCTTGACACTGTGTAAGCACTCCTCCAGAACGGCTACAACATCCGTGTGTTACAAACAGTGTTCTGGTCTCAAATCCAAAGCAAAGCACCACACAGGCTGCTAGGAAGAAAATTAACTCCACTATACCATGTTAATGTGGCTTAATGTTTGTAACAAGTATTATTAACACAAGGTAGCACATCTAGCTCCTTAACATAAAAGACCTGGGAAAAAAAAACATATCAGTCACTTGTAAGCAAGGAACAGAACAAATACAGAGGGTGTTCAGTTCTTTTTTGAAGTATGAATCTCAGCACTAAGCCAGTGCCCACACCTGCTTTACAGAACAGTAATACCACTACTACAATGACACCCAGAAGATTTTTAAAATAAAAACCTTTCCTACATTTGACAATCTGTACATCACTTTAAAAATGACAGTCACTTTGCTATGTTCGTATTTTCAGAGTAATTTTAGCATTTAAGAGTCATTTGACTTTTTAGATGTTCAAAGGCAAGAAAGCTTTCTAAGCTCACTGCTCTATACACATGCTGGTCCAAACACTACTTTAAATGAAGAAAAAAAAAAAATGTTGAGTAACACTACTGGCCTCCAAAACCAAGCGATGTATTGACAGATGCCTGTTAGCACAGAAACATCACGACTCCAAAGTAGTATTTCCCCAAATCATCAGCTGTGAAAAGTTGCTTGCAACTTTGAAAGTCCACGTAATTATCAAAAGCAGTTGATGGTTTTCTGCAATTTCTTCTATTCTTCTTTGTAAAAGCATTCTCGCACAGCAAAGACAGGCTGACAATCAAAATTTAAACAGGGCTTTTACAAAGTAGAAGCTACAGAAGTTCAGATTCTTAATCTATCATAGAAACCATCTTCGAAAAAAGAGCATATTCTTACTTTGCAAACTTTCTCTGGAACATTCTGTCACAGCTGCCTTTCAGATACCAGCCTGTGCCCGTCGGAAGCTCAGCTGTGCACGTATGACAATGAAACCACAGTTCCACAGAAACAATCTTTGCAATGCTGTATTTATAGTCATCCCTCACATCAGAACTGCATTAACTTTCTACTCTTCTCTTCAAAGCATGAACAGAGTCTTATGTCCCCATCTGCCTGAGGAAAAAAATGCTGCAATAAACCCACCTACCACAACAAAACAAAAGAGACAGCAAAAGCTTGCTTTATACAAAACAGCAGTGTTCAGTCTGGAACACCACACAAATCAAAGGAAAACAGCTTTATTATTAGTCTTGCCTTCCTCAATTCTTATCTCAAACAAGGACAGCTGCACTAAAAGACAGATTACAGAACTCTGCACATAACTGGTGTTTAAAGAGATTTTTTAATTGCTAGCTCACGATGTAAGTGGTTCATCAAGGCAAACAAAAACGTTTCCTCCAAGTGATACTGACCAATCTATGTAATGCAGAGTAAATACAGATAAAGTTCTCAGGAATTCTGAGCTGGTTTTCAGGGGAGTGGAGGGAGTTTTATTCCCCCCATTGTCTGAAGGAGACCAAGGAGGAAACTTTCTTTACACCCCTCAGATGTTTGACTCATGTATGCATTTCTAGCTTAGAACACATTCACCATAATTTTGAAAACTCATTTACCTGGATGGCTATCTGGCCACTTAGCAAATCCCCCAACAAGGCGATCTTGAGTTGACAGGATGTAATTTCGGTTTTTCTCAAAATTTGTATATTGGAATATGTTCAAGAGCTGAAAAGAAAACAGACCATTACAGTAATATACTGAAATCTTTGTGTCTTTTTTAATACCAAAATACAGTGCCTATTTATGAGTTAAGCAGTGACAGTAGAGACAGTCCTAAGCTGATAAACCTTCATATCCTGCATTTTTGCAAGATGAAAGATCTTTATAGTGATCTGCACATATTCATGCACTTCTCCCAAATATGCAACTCATTCAAGCACAGAAAAGACATGGTTAATCAAAGTAACTCAGTAACTATCCTGTAGCTGTTCTGTACACTACCTTCAATGTTGCTCCCACCCAAAAGGAATAGCAAGTGTCTACAGGTTTGTTGGGTCGTCCATGGTAGCCATTCTGCTGTCTCATTATACACCACCTTCTTATTCTGTTCAGTTCTTTTTCTGAAAAAGCTTCCTCCAGTTTACCCATCAAACACAGAGATGCAATACCACAAAATGTAGAGCCACCTGTGAAGACAGTTATTTGCAGTGTTTTGATACTCAGGTGTTGACTGAAGCCTGCATGATCTCAGTCAGACTGTGACTAGGATAGTAACAAATAAATCAATGGATTTTTTAAAAGGATTAACATGTTAATTTTTGTCTAAACTCCAAATAAATAGAACCACTTTAGGTCAGCATGTATGTCAAAAGGGGAAAAAAACCTCGGTGCAGCTCTTGCACAAATAAATATGAAATAATTTTCTTCAAGCTGGATTGTCCCTCAGTGCTGTGCAATTTACATTATACAGCAGTCCTGAAGTAAGTAAATTGCAACACAACAGAAAGTACTACTTCATCTCTAACTTAAGAAGAAAAGTTATTGGGATGCCAGCAATAACACTGAAGCAGAGATACCAAAGGCAATCCTAGACACAATCCCCCAAAGGATATGAACTGACAGAAGTGTCTGATGAGCAGAAAGCCAAA